GGTGATCCAATTAATTTAAATGTGAAGAATTTCTTCAAACAAGGTATATATACCAAAAACATTTTTGAAACACAATTGGGTTATGCTTTATGCAGGTTATTGCGTTTGGGATCGCGATTGGAATAGGCTTACAATGGCATGCGATTTTCCGCGTTTGCTGCATGCAAAAAATGTAGAGTTTGAGCCAATGAAAAAGTTTTTTGGCTACGAGAGGCCGAACAACTACTGGTGGTTCATGAAAGGGACGGATGGGTGGACCGGAGTCACTATGTTGGTCCTAATGGTGGTGGCTTATATTTTCGCACAATCGTGGTTCCGACGCAACCGAGCCAAGCTAGAAAAAGGCTGAAACGCTTGACCGGTTTCAACGCGTTTTGGTACTCACGCCATTTATTTGTCATCGTTTATGTGCTTCTCCTTGTGCATGGCTATTTTATTTATCTCTCCAAGGAATGGTACGAAAAAACGGTACGTATACGGTTTTACTTTTATCTAATTACGAATTTACTATATGATTAAATAATATTAACGACAAGATCATAATATGTAACTAAGAACATCTTTCAAAAAAAAAAAGTAATTAGGAACATCGTTTGTTATGCTATGTTTTTGGACAGACTTGGATGTATCTGGCTGTTCCTACGCTACTGTATGCGTGTGAACGATTGATTCGTGCATTTAGATCAGGTTCCAAGGCTGTAAATATTTTGAAGGTATATCTCTATATGTCTCACATTCTACATTTTGTGTTACAAATTCTAATAATCAAACAAAGTAATCATAATCAGAATTGGTTTTCAGGTTGGACTATATCGAGGAAATGTACTTTCACTTTACATGTCAAACCCTAAAGGGTTCAAGTACACGAGTGGGCAGTACATATATGTTAACTGTGCTGAAGTCTCACCATTACAATGGTATATAACAAATATTTCCCATAAATTACCATAATCATCAAATTTTAATATCATTATGTTGGTGTTTGTATAGGCATCCTTTTTCGATTACTTCGGCTTCAGGGGACGATTACCTCAGCATTCATATCCGCACACTCGGAGACTGGACATCGCAACTCAAATCCTTATTTTCCAAGGTTATTATTATTCAAGAGTAAAATTTATGAATTGATATATACATTGCATAACATGTCCTTGATTAGCATTCTAGTTTGTTTTAATACTTTTACTTACAAAAAAAAAACATAGGTTTGTCAACCTCCTTCAACAAGTCAAAGTGGACTCTTCATAACTGATATAGGTCAAGCCAATAACATAACCAGGTATTTGATTTATTGTTTACATAATTATGTTTAAAACAAAAAAACAGAGCATACAAATAAAAAACAGAGCATATGTTTTACTTATCAATTTACATCGAAAGGTTTCCAAGGCTTCTTGATCGATGGACCATATGGTGCACCGGCACAAGAGTACCGAAACTACGATGTATTGCTTCTAGTAGGTCTAGGGATCGGAGCGACACCATTAATCAGCATAATCAGGGATCTACTTAACAACATCAAGAACCAAAAATCTATCGAACAAGGCACAAACCAGAATGCTCGTCCAAGCAACATAAAAAAATATGTTGCCACAAAACGAGCTTATTTCTATTGGGCAACAAGAGAGCAAGGGTCATTAGAATGGTTCAGTGAGGACATGAACGAGGTATACATCTATCAATATTTTGAAATAGTGTTTTATTCATTGGATTAACTAAAAAATTGAAATGAAAGGTAGCTGAGTATGATAGTGAGGGGATCATTGAGCTACATAATTATTGCACGAGCGTGTATGAGGAAGGAGACGCGAGGTCAGCACTAATCACGATGTTGCAGTCATTGCATCACGCCAAGAACGGCATAGACATTGTGTCAGGTACTCGGGTCAGGACACATTTCGCCCGACCCGATTGGCGCAGCGTCTTCAAGCATGTAGCTGTAAACCACGTCAATCAACGAGTTGGTATGTAATTACAACAATCATATTTTTGTAGTAGTATTGGAGATTACTCGTTTGTAGTAGTAATGGAATATTTTTGCTTGTAGGGGTTTTCTACTGCGGTAAACCATGCATCATAGGAGAATTGAAGAGATTGGCCCAAGATTTCTCTAGGAAAACTAGTACCAAATTTGATTTCCACAAGGAGAATTTTTAAATTTCGATTCTTTGAATTATCAATGCTTTAATATTTTTATATTGCATTAAGAAGTTACCTAGCTACTCATATTTTGAATAAATGCGGCTTAGTTACTGATAGATTAACAAAGTAATAATTGAATACAAGTTCATATTCTCAAGCGTGGAAAACTCACGTTAAATAAAATGTTAGGAAACTGTTGCAAATCGTTATAAAGCCACGTTCTTGGTCATGATACAAGGAACACGATTAACTCTTGTTTGTAAGTATTATAATTTATAAAATCAAGAAATTAGAGGTAGTCATGATCAAGTCTCATGACGCTCTCACTGTTATCCATAAACATCAAGTCAAAAAAAAACGTAGATTTGCCCTTACTAAGCCAGTGATCCGGTATACCTTTGATTTCAATCCTTGTCATATCATTGTTTTGTATATCATAAGAGAGAACGTAAAAGGGAGAAACCAAATCCTCTGGAATCAAGAGAACATTGCCATTTTGAGTTGTACCACTAATCAGTAATCTAATATTGTTACTGACCAAATGTAGTTGACTAGGCCGCAAAACCATAGTCTTCCTCGACCATTCCTCGTTTTCGGCATCTCCGAGTATCCATAAATTCACAATACCCTTGTCGCTAAGATTGGTTTTATCAAGAAAAGTTGCTTTTCCACCATACTCTATAAGTCTCACATCCTTGACCCTTACATCCTCATCTCCCTCCATGCGAGGCACTTGGATCATTTTAAACTCTTGGGATTTAATATCAAAACTCACAACCACAGAATTATAGAAACTAGTCCAACCAAGGTAATATAAAACCCCATTGATAGAAAATCCTCGTTTAACAGTAACGTGAGGAGGACCAAAGTCTTGAGAAACCTTTTTCCAGGAACCCCCAGCTTTTAGGACAAAGATCCATTGCTCTGATAGAACCCCCAGCTTTCCGATTGAGCAGATAACTTTGTACTGGTCGTTAACAGGGTCGTGTACCAAGTAGTAGCAGGTGATGTTGATATCTTTTTTTTTTCCTGTACAAGTGTAGAAATTGGTTTCTATGGCCGGTAAGGACACAAGTTGTCTCGTGGCAGGGTTACAGATTTTGAGCTTTCTGAACAATTTGAAGCACATGAAGCCACCAAGATTGTGATGGATGTGGCCGCATCCCTCCCCTGGAATGGTCAGATCATGGTCAACAACAAAGGAAGTACCAGTGTCTGAAGGAGCCGATGATAGGATTACAGATTGACGGTAGTCTTTGCGGTCCGATAAACACATGTAAAGACGAGGACTCCGTCGAGCAAGGAAACGGTTGCTCAAGTATTGGGAGCAGATTAGAGATGAGTAGAGGTTTGAGAGGCTCTTGAATCTCATTAGGGCTTTAGCAGGAAGTCTCGTGAGAATCTCGATCACTAAATCCATAGGAATCTCCGGTTTTTTGCCTCGTCTTCTCTTCTTCTTTATCTTCCGTTGGATCACGGCTAGATGGTAAAACAAACCCATCAATGGAGACAAGACTTGGAGAAAAAGATAGCGTGTGAAAGAGATACAGGTTTAGGGTTTGAAGATTGATGAGTATGCAATATATATATATAGGGGTGGGCTTCGGTTACTGAGTT